GCACGCTCTGCGAGGGAGGCCCAGGGGGCCCCAAAACGGTGGACGAGAGGCCGCAGCCATGAGCCACGACCCCTCCGTCGCTGAGACTGTGATTGTGTATGGCGAGCGAGTGCTGCGCTGGTGCAAGGAGTGCCTCTGGGCGCGCGGGGCGACGCTGCCTTCTGGCGATGGTACTGAGACCGTCTGAGACCTCCGCCAGGAGTTCATCAACTAGGCGGCCACACGTGAACTCAACGCCTGCAGGTCAGGCTCATGAACATCTGGCTGGGGTGCAGCATTTGAAGGATGTCTGCCGCCACGGGAACCCCAGCAAGGAGTGGTGTACGATAACCCATCGTCGATTGGACCCGTAGAGGATAGGGTTCGCGAGGGGTCGCAGATCAGTGACGTGGACTACTTCAAGCACCCCAGAGCCCTGCAGGTGGCTCTGGCGTCGCGGCCCCGTGGGTTTCGTTGACCCGCAGGCCTGTGACGCAGGCGGAAATCTCTGGCTGGAAGCCAGCGGCCAGCCCACGCCGTGCCTGCCAAGGCTCAAGCTGAGCGGTGGGCTCTGGTCGGGCGACCTGGGCGTCGACCACATCGGCGCCACCGTCGACCCCACTCACTACACCGACGACTGGGATTGGGTGCCAGGCTCCTTTCCTGCGTGCTGCGGCCCGCTCACACACGCTCAGCCTGGGGGTGCCCTCGGCACCCGCGCAGATGCCAAGCTTCGGTCGGGCATGTCCCCCTACAGGCTGATTTTGGTGGCAAGGAACAGATGTTCAGAAATAGCCCAACATAGTGCATTTAAAATATTTATTTTCAACAACCATCCCCCTATCATTTTGGACTAATTTGGAACCTTCTTACTGTAGAAGGAAGTACCCGACTCACTGCCACGGGGCCCCGGGCAGCCCGCCGAGGGGGGCACACGGCCCGCCGACCCCGATCTCCGCCCCCCCGCCGTGGACCCCTTGCGGGCCGCCCGCGCCGCGCCCGGCGCAGGGCGTCCTCCTGGCCCCCCGCGGGCAGGCTCCTCCGCCCCGCCCTCGGCCGACCCGCGCTGTGCGACCTCCTCCTCCTCCTCCTCCTCCTCCTCCTCCTCCTCCTCCTCCTCCTCCTCCCTCCTCCCTCCCTCCCTCCGCTCCCTCCCTCCCTCCCTCCCTCCCTCCTCCTTCCCTTCCTCCCTCCCTCCTCCCTCCCTCCTTCCCTCCCTCCTGTCCCTCCCTCCCTCCCTCCCGCCCGCCCTCGGCCGACCCGCGCTGCGCGCGCGGTCTTCTCTTCGGCGTTTCGACACTGGGCGGAAAGGGGGGGAAGCCCCCCCTCCCGCCGTGGAGCCCCCGAGGGCCGCCCGCGCAGCGCCCCGCGCAGGGCATCCGTCTGGCCCCGCGGGCAGCGCCCTAAACCCGCCCTCGGCCGACCCGCGCTGCGCGACCTCCTCCTCCTCCTCCTCCTCCTCCTCCTCCTCCTCCTCCTCCTCCTCCTCCTCCTCCTCCACAATTACTCAATATGAATACTACTCTCCCTCTTCCCCTGATGGCGTCCTGGGAATATTCGACCCCCCCCGCGTACTGTTTTTTATTCACAGGATTCCCGGGAGTTGGGTTTTCGCCTGCGTTTTGTTTTCAAAATGCTGCTCTCGCTGAGGCGCCGGCCTCATTTCTGTTCCCGAATCGTTCCGAATCGTGCTCCCGCTGCAGCGTGGGCCTCATTTTCGGATCGGTGTTTTGCCTCCGTCGTTCAGGATGGCGTTCTCGCCCCAGCGCGGGCCTCTTTCTCGTGCGCCCACCCGCCCGCCACCACCGCGCCGCACCACGCCCCGCCCCGCCGCACGCACACCCACCGCCACTTCCACCCACCAGCGCACGCACGCACGCACGCACGCACGCGTACCACCACCGCGCACCGCCACCACCACCGCACTACCCAACCCACCACCACCACGCTACACCGCGTCACACCACATCACACGCGCGCACATACAGACACACACGCACGCACGCGCGCACACACACATACACACACGACACGACACGACACGACACGACACGACACGACACGACACGACACGACACGACACGACACGACACGACACGACACGACACGACACGACACGACACGACACGACACGACACGACACGACACGACACACACGACACGCGCACGACAACACGGCGACGACACGCATCGGCACGGCACGGCACGGCACGGCACGGCACGGCACGGCACGGCACGGCACGGCACGTCGGCACCGCACGGACCACGCACGCACGCACGCACGCACGCACGCACGCACGCACGCACGCACGCACGCACGCACGCACGCACGCACGCAACGCACGCAACGCACGCACGTCACGCACGCACGCACGCACGCACACACACACACACACACACAACACACACACACACACACACACACACACACACACACACACACACACACACACACACACACACGCGCGCACACACACACACACACACACACACACACACACACCACCACCACCGCCACCACCACCACCGCCATCACGCACGTACGCACCTGGCCCACCACCAAACCACCAAGACGCCACACCACGTCACACCACAGCACACGCGCACACACGCACACACACGCACACACACACATACACACCACCACCACAACAACCACAACCACGCACACACGCACGCACGCACGCGCACCACCACCCACTACGCACACGCGCGCGGAGCCACATGTCCGCTACGACACGCGTCCGCGGATAGAGAAAATCAACGCCATGGTAAGAGATGGGATGGAGGGCGGGATGTCAGATGTTGACGCGAGCGCACCTAACTTGTCCCCCTCCCCTTCCCCCTCCTCCTCCTCTCCTCCCTCTCCTCCTCCTCCTCCTCCTCCTCTACCTCTCCCCTTCCTCTCCTCCTCGCTCCTCCTCCTCCTCCTCCTCCTCCTCCTCACCCTCCCCCCTCATCTCCTCCTCCTCTCCTCCTCCTATCCTCCCCCTCCTCCTCTTCCTCCTCCTCCTCCCTTTCTCTTGTTCCTCCTCCCTCCTCCTCCTCCCCTCCTCCTCCTCCTCCTCTTCATGCTCCCCCTCTCTCCACCTCTTCTTCCTCCTCCTCCTCCTCCTCCTCCTCCTCCTCCTCCTCCTCCTCGTCCTCCTCATCCTCCTCTTCCTCCTCCTTCCCCTCCCCGGGCTGGGCGAAAGGGGGGGATAGCAAAGGGGTTGCTTGAGGATCAGCTCGCGTAGTTTCTTTTCCGGGCGCCTCCCGGCGTCGGAAGCGGCCATGTGTCAAGGAATGGGGCCCTCGGCGAAGCCGAAACCAGTTGCGTGCAGCAAATGTCGTACCCCACCCTTTCCCTATTTTTCCCCTTTTGGCATGGCCCGGTGAGCGTTGTTCTCTTCGGCATTTCGACATTTGCCGGGACGGGGGGGGAAGGGGGGAGGTCTGGCTCCAGACCTCTGCTCAGTGCGAGACTGTTTGCAAGAGTGCGTCCATGATGGGGGAGGCCCCACCTGCTCGAAAAATGGCGCCCAAAACGCCCGAGATCCACTCCAGGGGAAGAGGGGGTGCGAGCGCCCGCGCCGATCGGCAACAAAAACTAATAAAAACGCTCAGAAAGAAGTTGTCTCGCCAAGCTCGTTTGCAAACCCTGGTCCGATGGGTCCAGCTCGAAGCACGCCGCAAAAGCATGGTGTCCACGGCTCTGGCGGTGATGTGGTAGGGTGGCGCCCCTGCTTTCCGCAGCATCAGATATGAGGGTAACACGAACGCAAGATAACGGTGACATCGGATAGAGAGAAATCGGAATCGGTGAGAACCGGCGCGTCTGGAAGATGTATCGTGCGCGGCGGGTATTTCGGAGCGATCGAGAGCACTCCGAGAGCGCCACGGGACGTGCTTGGCACGATACATATATATATACACACACATACAGGCAAGAACCCTGTGCGGACTTTTTTTTGTTTATTGTTTCGGAGATCCGTGGGGCCGTCCGCGACGCCTTTGGACTTGAATCCAAAAAGACGTTCTCAGAGAACTCTCGGTGGGATGAGGTGGGAGGGGTTTTCGGTAAAGCGCGCGGGAAACAATAAGAAACCCATCGCACCCACACGAATCACCAGAACTTGCGCATAGATTTCTGTAGCCACGAATACGAAAACCAAATAAAAGCACAAGGAACACCAAACAACAAAAAAAAAAAAAAAAAAAATCCCTAGGGAGGTCCAGGGGAAAATCTCCACAGAAATTGGTTTGGTTTTGGTTTTCTGGTGTTCGTTCGGTGTTTGTTCTGTTGGTTCTGAGTCGAAATAAACCAAAAAAAGTTTGTTTGGCTTTGATGTGGACAACCAAAAAAACCTCAAAGGCAAGCCATCAAACCAAAAAAACCAAACCAATCCCTGGGACATCTTGGGGGGAAAGACCTCCCCAGGGATTGTTTTTTGTGTTTCCGTTTGTTATTGAGTTTTTGTTTCTAATGGTTCTGAGCCGAAAAAAAAACAACAACAAAAACATGTTTTCTGGTTTCTGGATGAACAAACTTTTTTTGTTGAAAAAATGCTGTTTTGGTTTTTGAGCTGAAAAACAAAAAACAATGTTGCTTGTTTTTGTAATGAAAAACTTGTGTGCGTGCGTTCCTTTTCGTTGGCTTTGGTTTGAAATGGGCGGAAAACCAAACAAAAAAACAAATATTGTCTTTTCTTTGTTTGGAAAAAAAACACACTAAGGGAAACCAACAACAACTCCCTGGCGACGTATTCGCAGGACCTCCCCAGGGATGGGCATGGTGTTTGTTGTATGTTGCTTTTTTTTTTTTGAAAAAATATCATAACATGCCACATGAAATCCGATCGATTCAGAGCTTAGGGTAGTTATTTCAGTTGGCCCACTGCGTCAGGCCCCAGAGAGCGCTCGCCCCCCCCATCCCCCACACACACAAGCTTTTCGAATAATATCGCATGCGCATTTTCCGTGAGCTTGTTTTTTTTCAAGCTTAAGCCGTTGCGCGGCCAGTGATCGCAACTCCCGGTCAGGGCCAATGATCACAACTCCCGTGCCACCAACTTTGCTCGATTCTATTCTGTCGCAGAAGACCGTGGCATTACGTTCGAGGAAGCGATCGCGCGGACGAAGGACAAGAAGCGCGGCCCGCTCTTGTCGCAACCCATCGTCAACAACCTCATGCCTGAGGACGTCCGGCCCGACCAGACGTGGCTGGGCAACCTTCCGATGATCCCCGCTGAAAGTTCAACCCAGCTCGCTCAGTGGGTGGACTTCGTGCGCCCCTACCAGGGCCCGCACCCGTGCGTAGAGGAGGACCAGCCTGAACAAAGGATGACAAAGATGAAGGAGCCAGGGAGAATTGCCACGTCCAGCTGCTACGAGAACCACACTGACAATCTGAAGCCTGCCAACAAGAGCGACCTGCCCTACACGATGCAAACGTTCATCACGAAGAATCCGGACAACACGCGCAGCCTGCTCAAGCTATTCACGATGGAGAAGGACAATAAGATCAAGCACAGCGATGCGTTTCAGATGTGTCACGGGTCGATGTACAAGGTGGACTACGGCAAGCACTTCAGGGATGGATCCAGGGCGCTGCAGTATCAACTTGAACGGTTGCCAGGCCTCCAGGTGATATACGATGCGGTTGTGGACTCGAGCGTTCCAAAGCGGGCCACGGATGTGGACTCGAAACGCAAGGGCTTCGACTACATCAAGGAGCACGGGCCGAAGAGCAACATGGACAACGTGGCCGTGGAGTTCGCAGAGATGGCCTGCGATGGCCCCGAAACGCCGATCTACGAGTGGCCGAAGACACTCGTGGAACCTTCGTGCTTCAACCACGGGAAGTCCGCAGCTGCCGCCCGCAAGCAGTCGTTCAAGCACCTCACGCTCCGGGACATCAGGGGGTGGTTATTGATGTGCGTGCTGGCGCCGGTCTTGGGCTCTTGGCGGAGGAAGTGAAGTCTTTCATTTTCCTTGGCGAATCTGGCTTCGGGAAGAGCCCGCTGGCAAAGGTGCTGGCCATGCTGTTGTCCATGTGGCACATCGAGAACGATGACACGAACGAGGAGCATGGCTTTCGCAAGCCAGAACGCTTTTTATACAAAAAATGACATGTGTTTCTGGACCTTCTGTTTTTTAATGAAAATCGTTTGTGTTCTGTTTCAAACCTCGGAATTGTAGTAAAAACGCGTTTCGGTATCGGTTCTCCGAGTGCGAATTCTATTGCACTTCCTAATGGAAATGGTAAGCAAGAAATTCTTTGAAAAATGCTATTTCTTGACCTTCTGTATTGAATGAAAATGATTGGTTTTCTCTGCGAAACCACAGAATTGTGGTACAAACGCGTTTCATTATCGATTCTCCCAGTGCGGAATATATATATATATATATATATTATATATATATATATATATATATATATATATATATCATCTCCTTAATGTTAGCACAAGCGAAAAAAAACAAGTAAACCGATTATTGATTAATGTGTGTTGCGTTATAATTTAACATGATTGAATGGTACTTCTATGTTTTACGTTGTTGATTTCTCTGCCGTGCGCTTTGCAAAAATAGCAAAACACAATGTGACTTGATAGGTTTCTAGACCAAGTGATAGTTTCGCCTCGGTGAAACTTTAATGTTTGACGCTGTGCGGACTGCAAAAACCAGTCCGCACAGCGTTCCCTTCTCTCTCTCTCTCTCTATATATATATATATATTATTCATCCTAGACCTGCCTGGCATATCCTAGACGTCTTGAAAGCAATCGAACCGGATTGTTACGTTCAGTTGATTTGCTGCTTTTCAGACTCGGGGGACGAAGACACGGTACCTGGGATTTGTTCTTCCCTTCTTCCTCTTCCTCCTCCTTCTCATCCCGCTTCCCGGGGGAACCAAAACCCGCTCAGCCGTCCCCCAGGGCGCCGCTGTGGGCTAGGTCGCGTCCTGGGGTGTCAGGATGTCCCGCTTGGCCGCTCGGGCCAAGGGCGGGCAGCGTGGCCTTCAGGGCACGGCCTCACCTGCCGCGAAAACCCACCCACTCGCGGGGGGTGGTGCGTGCGGAGGGACTACACGGCTGGGATCCTCTCCGCCCCAGCGCCAGTCTCCGCACTCGGGTCCTCCCGCACCACGAGGTGGTCGGGAGAGGCTCATGGATGCGTGCCACCTGGTCCCCCTTGGGCAAGGGGCAAAGGGACCTGCGGTGGTGGCCCTGGGCTCCGCTAAGTCTCACGCCAGGTGACCCGCCTTTCAGTCGAGGAAGTTCCAGTGTCCCGACCTGCAGTGGCAGGTGGAGGCTTGGGTCAGCGTGAGTGAGTGGTTCGCGCGTGCAAGTGCGGCGGATGAGGCTGCCTCCTTTTTTCCGGAGGAGCGTGCTCGCAGGCACTGAGGAACCCGCTGGTGCCCCAGGGCGAACGTTTCTGTCTTGCCTCTCTTCCGCCCTTCGGTGGAACTCTCTGGGTGCACAGGCGCTGAGAAGTGAATGTTCGGGCCTGTTTAAATGTTTCATTTCGCATCGCGAAGGGGCCAATTCCAATTCCAATGCTCCTCCTGCTGCTCCTCCTCCTCCTCCTCCTCCTCCTCCTCCTCCTCCTCCTCCTCTCTAGCCCTCTCACCTCCCACCTCCTCCCCCCTCTCTGCACTCGCAAACGATACCGAACGCGTCACTCTTGCTCGCCCTCTTGGCACCCCGGAGCGCGTCTGGGGCGCAAGCGGCACAGCTATCTCTCTCTGCCCCCCTACGAAGAGCCAGCTCTCGTCCGCTCCCGTCTCCCCGTTAAAAAACACAAGCATAGCTGTAGGTCGGGCATGTCCTCCTTCAGGCGGATCTTGGAAGAGAGGTGAAACATAGCCAACACATGCTCGAACATATATTTGATAATGCTTGAAACAACGTCTCCGAACCATTGTGTGACAACTTGTTGGATATCCCCCCTGCAGAAAGACATGCCAGACATGACCGCAGCCACGAAGAGAGGGACCTTACGGTATTCGGCCTGACCTAAGGAACGATAAATAAGGAACGAAGCCCCTTTTTTGTCCAAGTAAGTCTACGAAGTCCGAAGGAACACCAGGGGGCTCGCCGCCAAAAAGGCAGCGGAACGCATGCAGACCAAAGAAACTTGAAAAGTAAGTGCTCCTTATTCAAGCCGGACCCTGTACGCAAGAGGCCGTGCCGACCCTACGCGGAGTCCAGCGCGGCCCGCCAGCGCGGCACACCACGCGGGGAAGCGGGCGACTCCGCCCGACCCTGCGCTACAGCGTACGCGCGAGTGCCGGCGCTGTCGCCTGCGTTCTCTTACGTCGCTCTACTACCCTTCGGTCGGGCATGCCCTCCTACAGGTAGATTGCCGAAGAAAAACAACACAATCAGAAGAGTAAATAATAGTCCAAGGTCTTCGGTAAATCGATGCCAAACAATTCTTTGACTATTCCTGTATATTCCGCTTGTAGAAGGACAGGCTCGACTTAACACTGCCCCTCGAGGTCCCTGGGCCAAAGCTGCGACCGAACGGGGTCACAGCCTCAAGGGCCTGCAAGCCCGGGCCATTGAAGAGCCAATGGTTTGGATGGCGGGACCGGCTGACGTTGAACTTGCATGGGGAGACGAGGCGAGGGGGACGAGGAGGAGGAAACTCGAGTGTGCGGAAGAGGGGACCGGGGGAGGAGCTAGAGGAAAAGGCGATTGGACAAAGAAAGGGGTGGCCGAAGATGAGGCGGTGGAGGCAGGAGAAGGGAATGGGGGTGCGGAAGGAAGAGAAAAGCGGAGGCTTCGATTGAGGGAGGGAAACGGATGAGGGATCAAGCGGAGCCTTGGTTGGAGAATGGAAGAGCGTTGGTTGGATGAAGGAAGGGGTGGGGGGGGCGGAGGCAGGAAGAGTGACAAGGAGTCTTGAACTGAAGTGAATTCCGACAACAATCACAAAAAAACCTCTGGAGATCATCGAAACCCTCTGACACATCCTGGCGAGGACGTGGATGCGGCGGTGGCGGCGGAGGCGAGGACGATGATGACAAGAAACAAGAATGCCCACGGGGGGTCCAGACGCTCAACAAGGGCAGAAAGTCGGGGAGAACTGCCAAAACCCTTCGAAGGGTGATGCTGACGACAACGACGACAGCGACGACGACGACGACGACGACGACGACGAAGACGGCGGCGGCGGCGGCGACGACGACGACGACCACGACAGCGATGACGACAACGACGGCGGGGACGACGACGACGACGGCGGCGGCTGGTGTCCTGTCGCCCACGGCGGGCAGGTCACGGTGCACGCGGGCGATCCGCCGCTGGGAGGGCTTGCTGAAGATGGCGCTCTCCTGCCGCAAATGAGGCCGCCGCAGCGGGTCGTCGTTGTCGCCGTCACCGTCGTCGTCAGTCGCCGTCGCCGCCACCGCCGTCGTCGTCGCCGCCGTTGCTGCTCGTCGCCGCCACCGACGTCGTCGATGATCGTCACTATCGTCGTCGACTCGTGTCGTCGTCGTTCTCGTCGGCGTAGCTGCTCGTCACCGCCACCGACGTCGTCGACGGTCGACGGCGGCGGGGGAGCTCTCATTGGGATGCTCCCGGACCAGGATCCCGAAGAGTGTCGTCGTCGTCGTGGTCGTCGTGGTCGTCGTCGCCGTCGCCATTCACTGGCCGTCGTCGTCGCCGTCGGTGGTCGACCGTTGGTCGTCGACGCCAGTCGTCGTCGTCGGCCGCCATCGCCAGCCTCGTCGTCGCCACTGTCGCCGCCTCCGCCTGCCGGCTATCGTCGGCGCCACGTCCACCCTGCGCTCTCCAAGTGGGCGCGGCAGCGGCCGTTGGCCGCCGCGGCCGTCCGCCGCTGCGGCCCCGCGGTCGTGGCCGCGGTCACCGTGGACAGGCCAGCATGTGATTTCCTACCCGGCCGCCCCAACCCGACCCGCAGACCCTAATTTTCGGTTGGGGGTGGGGGGGGGGTACGGGTTCCATATGTGTTTCGTCAGTGTACCCCGGCCCGCTGGACATGGAGGGCAAGTCGGGGCCTCTTCGGGTTGGGTTGGGGTGGCCTGGTCGGCGGTGAGGATGGCCGTCGGACGCCGTCGGCCGCTGTCTTCCCGGCGCCGCGAGACGGCAGGTCGTCTTCGGAAAGGCGCCCCGAGCCTTAGGTCGGGCATGTCCCCCTACTGGCGGATGTGGGGAGGAAACTTAAAAGTAGCTAAACATAATTCAAATTGTTTTTTATATATATATATATATATATATATATATATATATTAAACAGGCGAACAATCGCCCCCATACTTGTGTATACTGCTTTTGAGTATTCCTCCTGCAGAGGGACACGCCCGACGAAACCCGACACTCGCCCGCGCCGCCCCATGACGGCGGCGCCCGCCGAGCTCCCCCTGGAGCAGAGGGCCCTGGCCGCGAGGCGAGGCCGGTGCGTGTGCGCTGCCGCCGCCGGGGGGGGGCCGATCTCCGAGGGCCCCAGGAGGCCCCTTGCATTATGTCGGGCGTGTCCCCCCACAGGGAGATTTTCGACGACAAACGAAACATACCCCCCAAAAATGCTCCAAAATGGTCAAGCAAGACTCCAAAAATAGTTCCTGGACTATTTTTGGATTATGTTTGGACCATCTTGGGGGTATTTTTCCCCCATATCCTAACTATGGGGTTCTTGTTATTCCCCATATCCAAAGATGGGGTTCTTGTTCCCCATATCCAAAGATGGGGTTCTTGTTATTCCCCATATCCAAAGATGGGGTTCTTGTTATTGGCGGACCGCGCCGGAAGGACACAGGACAGAACACCACACCCACCACTCATCACTCAGACTCACCACTCAGATTCACTCATCACTCAGTCATCACTCAGACTCAGGCGATTCGCTCGTCTCAGCAATCTAAGGGGGGCGGCGGGGGGGTATTTCACGGGGTCCCGTTCGCGGAATTTTGTGGGGATGTCTCAGGCGGTTTGGCCATTTTCTGATCCAACATGTTTCGTTTTCGGAGCAGATTTGGAGGATGTCTCAGGCGATTCGCTCGTCTCAGCACTCTAAGGGGGGCGGCGGGGGGGTATTTCACGGGGTCCCGTTCGCGGAATTTTGTGGGGATGTCTCGAGCGGTTTGCCTGTTTTCTGTGCCAGCATCCTTCGCTTTCGGAGCAGATTTGGAGGATGTCTCGAGCGAGGCGCTCATTTTCACCCCCCAGGTGGGCCAGATTTTGAGGATGTCTCGATCGGTTTGCTTGTTTTGGTGGCCAGGCTCGTGGGCGCATATTCTTCTCTGGATGCCACAGGAGGCTCCAACAGGCTCCAGGAGGCCCCAGGAGACATCATGAGGTCCCAGGAGGCATCAGGAGGCCACAGAAAGACTCAAGAGGCCACAGGATGTCCCAAGAGGCTCCAGGAGGCCCCAGGAAGCTCCGGACGGCCTCAGGAAACCACAGGAGGCCCCACGAGGCAACAGGAAGCGCCAGGAGGCCTCGGAAGGCAACAGGAGGCCCCGAGAGGCCCCAGGAGCAGGAGGCTTCAGAAGGCAACAGGAGTGGCTCCAATCCCATGTGTTTTACGTATGCTCCTATCGATTGGGCCTCACCTGGAGCACGAGTCTTTTGATGTTTTACGTATGTTTCTATAGATTGTCCTTCTCCTGTGTACACAATCCTACATATTTTACTAATGTTCCTATATATATATATATATATATATATATATATATATTGGGCCTCTCCTGGGGCACGAGTCCTTTGTGTTTGACGCGTGTTCCTATAGATTGCCCTTCTCCTGTGGCACGAATCCGCAATGGTTTATGTACGTCTGTTGCTATATATTGCGCCTCTCCTGGGGCACGAAACCTCCCTAGGAGGTCCCAGGAGGCCCCAAGAGGCTCCTGGAGACCCCAGGAAGCCCCAGTAGGTTTCAGGAGGCCCCAGGAGGCCCGAGGCTCATGCACAAAGACGCGCTTGTACTACTGAGGCTCATTCACACTCCAATTCATTCGCAGTTAGATTTATGTCCTGACCGTCACAACTGAAGCCCGTGTATATTCGAAAGCTCTTGCGCCTAGACATTCACGGCGGACAGGTCCATGCGAATAGATGCACTTCTTGTTATTGGCGGACCGCGCCGGAAGGACACAGAACAGGACAGAACACCACACCCATCACTCAGACACACACGTAAGTTATTCCCCATATCCTAAGATGGGGTTCTTGATTCCCCATATCCAAAGATGGTTTTTTCCCCATATCCAAAGATGGGGTTCTTGTTCCCCTATCCAAAGATGGGGTTCTTGTTATTGGCGGACCGCGCCGGAAGGACACAGGACAGAACACCACACCCACCACTCATCACTCAGACTCACCACTCAGATTCACTCATCACTCAGTCATCACTCAGACTCAGGCGATTCGCTCGTCTCAGCAATCTAAGGGGGGCGGCGGGGGGGTATTTCACGGGGTCCCGTTCGCGGAATTTTGTGGGGATGTCTCAGGCGGTTTGGCATTTTCTGATCCAACATGTTTCGTTTTCGGAGCAGATTTGGAGGATGTCTCAGGCGATTCGCTCGTCTCAGCACTCTAAGGGGGGCGGCGGGGGGGTATTTCACGGGGTCCCGTTCGCGGAATTTTGTGGGGATGTCTCGAGCGGTTTGCCTGTTTTCTGTGCCAGCATCCTTCGCTTTCGGAGCAGATTTGGAGGATGTCTCGAGCGAGGCGCTCATTTTCACCCCCCAGGTGGGCCAGATTTTGAGGATGTCTCGATCGGTTTGCTTGTTTTGGTGGCCAGGCTCGTGGGCGCATATTCTTCTCTGGATGCCACAGGAGGCTCCAACAGGCTCCAGGAGGCCCCAGGAGACATCATGAGGTCCCAGGAGGCATCAGGAGGCTACAGAAAGACTCAAGAGGCCACAGGATGTCCCAAGAGGCTCCAGGAGGCCCCAGGAAGCTCCGGACGGCCTCAGGAAACCACAGGAGGCCCCACGAGGCAACAGGAAGCGCCAGGAGGCCTCGGAAGGCAACAGGAGGCCCCGAGAGGCCCCAGGAGCAGGAGGCTTCAGAAGGCAACAGGAGTGGCTCCAATCCCATGTGTTTTACGTATGCTCCTATCGATTGGGCCTCACCTGGAGCACGAGTCTTTTGATGTTTTATATATTGGGCCTCTCCTGGGGCACGAGTCCTGTGTTTGACGCGTGTTCCCATAGATTGCCCTTCTCCTGTGGCACGAATCCGCAATGGTTTATGTACGTCTGTTGCTATATATTGCGCCTCTCCTGGGGCACGAAACCTCCCTAGGAGGTCCCAGGAGGCCCCAAGAGGCTCCTGGAGACCCCAGGAAGCCCCAGTAGGTTTCAGGAGGCCCCAGGAGGCCCGAGGCTCATGCACAAAGACGCGCTTGTACTACTGAGGCTCATTCACACTCCAATTCATTCGCAGTTAGATTTATGTCCTGACCGTCACAACTGAAGCCCGTGTATATTCGAAAGCTCTTGCGCCTAGACATTCACGGCGGACAGGTCCATGCGAATAGATGCACTTCTTGTTCCCCATATCCAAAGATGGGGTTCTTGTTCCCCATATCCCCATATCCAAAGATGGGGTTCTTGTTATTGGCGGACCGCGCCGGAAGGACACAGAACAGGACAGAACACCACACCCATCACTCACCACTCATCACTCAGACTCACCACTCAGATTCACTCATCACTCAGACTCACTCATGCTCTCTCATCACTCAGACTCAGTCATCACTCAGACTCAGGCGATTCGCTCGTCTCAGCAATCTAAGGGGGGCGGCGGGGGGGTATTTCACGGGGTCCCGTTCGCGGAATTTTGTGGGGATGTCTCAGGCGGTTTGGCCATTTTCTGATCCAACATGTTTCGTTTTCGAAGCAGATTTGGAGGATGTCTCAGGCGATTCGCTCGTCTCAGCACTCTAAGGGGGGCGGCGGGGGGGTATTTCACGGGTCCCGTTCGCGGAATTTTGTGGGGATGTCTCGAGCGGTTTGCTTGTTTTCTGTGCCAGCATCTTTCGTTTTCGGAGCAGATTTGGAGGATGTCTCGAGCGAGGCGCTCATTTTGACCTCCCAGGTGGGCCAGATTTTGAGGATGTCTCGAGCGGTTTGCTTGTTTTGGTGGCCAGGCTCGTGGGCGCAGATTCTTCTCAGGATGCCACAGGAGGCTCCCACAGGCTCCAGGAGGCCCCAGGAGACCACATGAGGTCCCAGGAGGCATCAGGAGGCCACAGAAAGACTCAAGAGGCCACAGGATGTCCCAAGAGGCTCCAGGAGGCCCCAGGAAGCTCCAGAAGGCCTCAGGAAACCACAGGAGGCCCCAGGAGGCAACAGGAAGCGCCAGG